GCGCTCCTCGCCGCGGACTCTGCGGAGCGCGCGGCTGGGAAAAAGGCTTCCCCGGCAGGGGAGCTGGTCGCGGTCGGGATCCCTTCCGAAACGTCTGGAACGGAGCAAGGCGTTAGCGCGGGGAAAGGCTCCCCTGGAGATTCCCTGCACAGAGCAGGGCTTGAGTCTGATTCCCGGCCTGAGGTTGATTTCCACACCGCCGCGGGTCTGTGGAAGCGGCGGGGGCAAGGGTGTCTCTGACCGTTTTGCAGCACCGGGGTGCCGGCGGTTACTGTTTGCACCACAGACATCAGCTTCCATGCCTCTAGTGCACTGTTTCTCGACCTTGGCAACTTTGAGACCTGTGGACCTCAGCTCCCAGCATGCTGGCTGGGGAATTCTGGGAGTTGAAGTCCACATGTCTTAAAGCGGCCAAGGTTGCAAAACACTGCACTAGGGGGTTATGGCTATATACTAGCGGTCCTGAGAAGGGGTCTTAAAGAGAAACCTGCAGTCAAGAAATAAATGCTATTTACTGTTGCTATTACGGCATCTGACATTGTGCTCCTGAACCTGAGAGGCTTTCGAAGTAGTTTAGGTAATAAACTGATAGTCCCAAATGCACTTTTAGTTAACCTAATTGCCGGGAAGGGCTTCACACAATACAGAGAACCACCCAAGCTGTGTTTTCTCACAATGTTTTAAATTATTAATTAATTAATTAATAATATAAACATTAAATTAAATTGTTCTGCGAGTTCAGTGTTTCTCAGACTTGGCAACTTTAAGATGGGTGGACTTCAGTTCCCAGAATTCCCCAGCCAGCATGTAGACTTCAACTCCCAGAATTCCCGTCCACACATCTAAAGTTGCCAAGTTTGAGAAACACCATGTTAGCTTACTGTGGATCAGCATGCTCTGTCAGCACAATTTTGGCACCTTACTGAAGGATTTGTGGCTTCAGCGTCCATCACTCCTGTTGCGCCCCCCCCCCCAAGAACCACATAAGAACAGATCCTCCTGGAGACAGTCTATTTATGTGGTGGGTAAGAGATGACATCAGCTTGATGGCACATAGTCAACCAATCACCATCACCTTATATTCCTCCACTGAAAAATTAACTTGCAGCTAAATTATGGAATCTCATAATTTCAATAAACAAAGAGAAGCAACTTTGTCTCTCTTTAACTTCTATCTTTTCAGACCAGCCAAAGTGTGCTCCCAATGCAGGGGTGTTTGCGGGCATGGTCAAAAAAGTCAAGATGGTCATGGTAGTGTGATCAGGCGAGACTTCAGTTGCACTGCTGTGGCCACCATCTTGACTTTTTTGACCATATTCTGCAGATGGTCCTCTCCAAATGTATCTTCTGTTTCTAAAGGAGAAGGAATGTAGCTTAAATTCTTGCATATTCCCATTGATCAAAAACTTTGGGCTGTCCTTCTCTGTCTTGTTCTCTTATAACAGGATTTTTTTCATCAGGCAACTGGCACTTAAATAAAAGGATTGCCATATTAAAATATGCTTGATAGAGATTGAGGATGAGACAGTCTTCCTCAACATTGTGGCCTTTATACTGATGGATTACAACTCCTATTGTAATCAGTCTTTACTTTTAAGAACTGTTTTTTTAAAAAAAAAATACTGTATTTTCTTACCCATTTTTTCCTGCATGATTTGAAGAGAGGGAAGAGGCGCAATCATCTTCTTTCCTGTCAGAGGCTTCTGTGTCTTTAGGAAGGAGCTGGATGAACGGCAGAACTTGCCAATTTTCTTTGTCACAAGATCAAAGTGAGCGACAAAACTGCGCCATTGGAGTGTCATCCTGTCATGTCATGGCTGGAGGCATATGAACTTTTGACAGAGAAGACAACATATGGGCAACTCTGGGGAGAGAAAAGGAGGGTAACATGATGACCCGTGGGAAATGAAACAATTGTGCAGATGCCACAACTTATCTCCTTGTACCAGACATCCTGAGACTAATATGCAATTTGGGATTTGTTTGATTATGTCCTCGCAAGTGTGTTGCCATTTTGATGTCACACCATCCATATGCTGTGGATCCAACTGTCCTGCATAGGGCTTCCTCGGCCAATTTTTCCCCACAGTAACAACTCTGTGAGGTTGAGAGAGAGGGAGGGATGGAGGGAGAGGGAGAGACTGGCCCAAGTCACTCAAGGTGATCTTCCGTGGCAGAGGGTGAACTTAAATCTGGTATTCCTGGAACTCAGTTCCATAACCACTACACTGCATTACGCTACACAACCAAATCAAGTTGGCTACTTCACACTTCCATGTAGCTACATCCCCAGGAATGTAGCTACTTTACTGAACAAGACAGTACAGCATTCTCAGAGAATGCAAGAATAATTGGACCATCCAATGTGTTGATTGCTATAATTATCTTCCTGTTAGACAGTCATGTAATGAAAGGGGTTATAAATACAATAAATCAGTTAATAAGGGAACGACCATAAGAGCTCTGCTGGTTCTGGCCAATGGCCAACTAATCTTATATTCTGCATCCCACATTAGCCAGCTGAATAGATTTGGGAAATTCACAAGCTTGCACTGACGAGGGAAAGCCTCCTCCACTGTAAACTTCCCAGCATGCAGACTAAGATTCATTAAACAGGTACATCCCTTCCTTTCTAAATTATCTTCACAATGGCTGAGTTAAAAAAGACATAATTTGTTTGTAAGAAACTTCTGATCTGAAAAAAGTCCGAATTGTCCCAACTGTCCACAAAAGAGAAGAAAAATAAATTGCCATTAAATCTATGCAGAACAAATTAACTGGAACAAAGGGTTTTTATTTTTCTCACTCCCAAGACTATTTTTCACCAATCTATTCCATGATGGATTTCAACAACAAAAATCTCTTTTATTGGAAAATAACAGTAGCAAACAAAAATCCCCACACCATTTCCTTCCCTCACTTCGGATTCAAATTTTCTTAAACATCCCTATCCTAGACTTCAGCTTTTTTACCCAGCCATGTCAGTTCTCTGTTGTGAAGGGAATCGCACATCCCAGTGTCATTGGGAAACATGAACTGTCTCCCTGAGATTTTGGAGGGATTCCAATATGATTAAATAACAAATTACCCCAAACCTTCTGTCAAGTCCCTTTGCTCCCACCCTGAAAACAAGGATCAACCTATAGAGCGTATACAGTATTTAGAAAATAAACACACTTCTTTAGCTGCAAAGATGGTTTGAAGGATAGTTTCTCTTCATTTCCCATCTTTCCTGCTGGCAGACCAGTTGTCAAATTCAGCTGAGCGAAAGACAGTGCTCTCCCTGCTGACTGAGCAGGAGAAAAGGCTACTTTCCTACCAAACAGCTTTTTTGGCCTAGGCGTGGTCTTGTGTTGGTTAGAGCAAGGTTTCTCAACCTCAGCAACTTTAAGATGTGTGGACTTCAGCTCCCAGAATTCCCCTCCAGCTATCAGGCTATTACATGCCCAAGAGAGAGAAGGGAAAAAATGCAATCAGAACATTCATTTGGGGGGGGGGTATTTAAAAGTAGCTGAAATTACAGAGACTTAAACACAAGCACACTTACAAAGAAACAGAGGACATTTGTTTGAATTGGAAGGGGCCTCAAAGGTCCTCTAGTCCAACCCCCTGCTGAGTGCTGGAATCCAGCCCTCCCCCGTGGAAACCTCCCGCGAGAGGGAGTCCCCCCATCAGCCCACTTCCGCTTCTTCCTAGAAGGAGCAAACTATGATATTGGAGAGAGACTATGAGCCAAATCCTTGGACCTGATTAAGATCCAACCCCCGTTTTCTCCCATCGGTTCAAAAATTAGATTTTCGCATTTAAAATCTGTTTTGAAATCAAGCTTTCGCCTCAGAACTTTCATAAGTAGCAATTAAACGAAAGCACCTTTCCAAAGGGTGAAGACATAGAGAAAGCGCTGGCCCTTTAAATCTTCAGTTTCTGGCCCTCCCCTCAAATGGCGGCGCCCTAGACGGCGCCACCTAGAATCTGCCCTATTCCAAAATGGCTACCGCTTTTTATGGGGTGTCTTATTTTCATAGTCTCCCTTTTCTTGCCCAAACCCAAAATGGTGGGCTCATTGACTTCAACATTCCGTCGACCCGAACTCAAGAGGGCGGTTACAACGCTTTTCTTGCAACGCAACGTCCAGCGTCCCCCCGCCCCCTTTTTTTAGGCCCGGAACTGAAAAGGTTCGTCCGTTTAAAAATAAAAAAATAAAAACGGAGGCCCCTGGAGCCGAAGAAGGCGCGGCTGGTGACGTAAGGACGTCACCGAAGCGTGGACCCTTTAAAAAGATGGGGGAAGCGCGGGGCTGGATAGGCATCTTTTCGCTAACCTTCTGGTAGCCGGGAAATCAGTTTCAGGGGAGGGGAGTGTGGGGGGGCGAAACTGAAATGGGTTCGTTAAGCCTTTACTAGGTTTAAAGCACCCGTTTAGTCTCGGAAGACACCTCTCCTGAATCCCCGGCACCAAGCCGACCCGCCCTTCCCGTGCGGGTTCTGAGGCCGCCGAAAAGGGGAGGGGTGCCATATCCGGGCTTTGGCTACAGCTTGCCCACTCTTGCCCTAGGTAATGATGGCGACGCTTTAGCCACCACTTGAGTAAAGAAACAGGAGGCCATTGGCTGCGGCTGAAAACAAGGTGCTCCGCTATTGGGCGGGCTGGACCTGGAGCAGGATCGGGCCGTGCCGAGAGGCTGGTGAGAGAAGGGCTGGGGGAGGAGGAAAAGCTG